TCCAGCAGATCCTTTTTTGAGCAATGCTCAGATGCTGGATCCTTTTTTGAGAATGAATTGGTTGTTTTTCGTACACAGTGGAACCATGCATCTTGCAGACGGTGGTGATTTTGACCCATGCATGCATGCACACACCATCAATCACACACGCACACATGTTTTTCGTTTGTTCCCTAAAGTTGGCTTAAAGTTTGAAGCAGATCATTGACAAGTGGATACAAGTGGTTCACACTATTTCATACATTTCGCCTCTGGTTGCTCGAAGGCAGGTCCCACAGCACCTGATACATTTGCTGCGCATTCGGCTTTGAGAGCAACTGGTGGCCGATTTCTTTGGTTAGCTATGTTCGCTATGGTTTTGTGTTTACCACCAGAGGTTTAGTTCATGGTTTCCAAGACGGACCTGTGTGGGTCGTTGCACCTCATTGGTATTCACGTCCAGATGTGGCGAGGGTATGTTTATGCAACACTATTCTCGTTTTTTGGCAAACAGCCCCGTGATAACGCTGATCACTGACCACAGGCCGACCTTTTCGAGTACTTCTCGAAGGGGTTCAACCCAACTAGTCGAAGCGAGGAGTACCATACTAAAGATCAAGTTCGTGTCAAACATCACGAGAATCTTTGAAACTCCTGCAGTCGGCCAACCAGTTGCTGCACAGAACGATGGTGAGTTCTACTGAACTACAGCGCAGTGATGTGCCCCCAAACCTGCACATATTTGAGAGGTTTCTCTACACTGTGTCTTTCCAGACTCACGATCTCAAGCAACCTTTGGTGTTTGGCCAAGAGGGTTTTTCCCGCTGGCCCGTCGGAGCTGAACTGATCTTTTTCCAACGACACAGGCAGAGCGAAGGACCTGATGTCTGAGTCACTCACTTCTTATCACCAGTCTGCGTATTCTTAAAAATCCAAAAATGAATTCCAGTCGAATCCCAAATAATTAATCTAAGACTTGCAACTTGTAATACTTTTCCCGCACCTAGAACGTGCCAAGCACGCATTGGATGGCAATTTATCTTCTACACTGGCAGGGATACAATCAGCGAGTAATCAGGACACCAGGAACTTTTGGGACATATTGAACGGGAGGACACTCGGAAATCACGATGGTCACGCGGATCGGATGCCTTTTTGTTTGCGGTTGTGTTTGGTTCTTCCGTCTTGTTTTCCTTCATGTCTTCCAATGTTTCCCATTATCTTTTACTTTGTCTCCCACTCCCGGTGGTGTTCGGGTTTACCCTCCTTATCTCAAGGCTCCCTTCACTTATGTCTTTCTGTCCTTTAGCATGTCTCCAGTAGCCTGCAAGGCTTGGACATGACTTGAACAGGTCTTCGGCCGAGTCTGGGTCAGTTGAGATCAGCAGTAGCAGTGGCAATGCAAACATCCGGAAACGGCCTGCAGCTTGATGCAGCCTGTTTGCCCTTGTTGTGGTAGGCACTTGTCCTGCCAGGTTTGGTACAGTTGTGAAATATTGTGACATATTTTGACGATCAGCTTAGCTGTGCGTCACACATGCGCGTCGGACCCGGATGCGACGAACAGATACAAAAAGGCCTACTTGCCATGGGCCGTCGGATGCGTTCAATTGGCGCTGGGACCAGAGGATGCAAATTTGCGGTCAGCATGCCTGTCAAATTCTTGAGCTTGGGCTTGAGTACATTCTACTTGGGTGCAAATCAGACATGCTTTGATGCATTTTATGTAGCTGCTCTATCTGCAAATGCTGGCCAACCAAACTCGACAAAGGTTGATGTATGCATCAAACGTTGTCAGCTGTTTGTAAGATGCTTGCATGATGAGCGTTTGTGCCGTGGACCAACTGAGTAGAAGCACCAGATCGAGGTTCAAGGCCGCGAATTTCCAGCGAAGGTGAACGATCGTAAACAGGGGGAAGCATTGCGTAATTGACAATCATGCAGAACGAAGGCTATATATTAGGCTATGTTTGTAGATGTCTGTAAAATTTTGGATCTATCCATCATGGACCCTGATAAATGTTGGATCATTTTGGGTTACTATCAACATACTTAAGTGTAATCAAAGCCTCGCATGTTCAACCGATAAGCCCCTTCGAGAACAGGGTGCATTTGGACATATGCCAGTCCCCCAGATCTGTGACGAATCATTTGGCGCAGACGTGAATGTCCACAAGTCCTGGCAAGTGTGAAGTCAAATCAACCATGGGATTTGGGGGTACATACTTTTTTCCAAACAAACCGCATCAAGCACCGGAACACGAGGAAAACAGAAAACATTGCCAAAGGCATTTGATGCTTAGACCAGCCTTGCGCCACCAAGAAAGCTTGTGGCTATTTTCGATGGCCTGGGTTTCGGAAGCATTTTTTCTGAATTCTAATATTCTATCATATTGAACTGATTTCCCCAGTTTCCCTTTCCATGCGGTGAGACGACCTGCTTATAGATGTTGGTTTTGCATAGCTTCACATACACCCACCTCAAATAAACGAGTCTGCAAACACAATCAGTCCACCAATCAACCCACATCCACAAAAACCAGTCACAAGCACATCAAACTAATTACAATTCAATCTCTATACATATATAATTTACACTTTATACACCATTCATAAGATCACCTGCTTACAAGAACAGCTCTTTGCTTATCAACTCACCTCCTGCAAGACTTGAAACATCAAATCATATACCACAAAGCCATGGAAGGTTCCTATTTCCCCTATTTGAGGAAGCGCAAAGCCATGGAGGGTCCCTATTTCCACTATTCCCCCTGTTTGTTTGGTCCGTGTCAAGTCTTGAGTCTTGAGGCTGATCTGCCCCAGAGATAGAGGTAAATAGGGACGCTCCATAGTTTCGTGCTTCCCTCACATAGCAAAAAATAGGGGAAAGGGGATCCTTCAGCTTCCCTAGCTTAGGGTATGCGAACGATGACGGGACCGTCTCACTGTTTCAGTTTCCCAAGCTTCATGAAACACTGGAAGCAGCTCTTCTCATAAATATCTGGGCGCATGCTCACAAGATCTTCTGAGCATCTCCTCTATAGGATTCTATAGGCACAGACCTTGTCTCAACTCTAGCACTATGTGCGTTCCTACCCTCAAGGCATTTTGCTGTAGAGGTTTCTTGCTGCTGTCCCGCAACGAGAATTGGGCAGATACTGTAGTCTCACACAATATCTGCGAAATATTGCGTTAGAATATAGGCTGGGCAATATGCCAGGAAGCCGAATATACCCAAAGACGTGACATGTGTTTGGCAGAATATACACATCACAATATGCATCAGACGCTCAAACAATTTTGTGTGCAGGAATCGTTGTGGTTGTTTTGTATGCTGCAAATGCTGGAACAATTGCCGCAGCTTGAGAGGATTCGGTTGTCAATATGATGATGACGATGATGATTATGATGATGATGATGATGGTGATGATGGTGGTGGTGTTGATGATGATCATGACGATTGGTATTGATATGTATTGATGATGGTTGATAATGATTGAGGATGATTGATGATGGTTGATGGTTATTCATGACGATTCATGATGATTCATGATGGTTGACGTTGATTGAGCATGATCAGTGATGATGAAGAAGAAGAATATGATGACGATGATGACGATGACAATGCTGATGCTGAGGTTTAGGATGAGAAAGAGGATGAGGAGGATGAGGATGAGAATCATGATGACGATGATGATGATGATGCTGATGCTGATGGTGATGTTGATGATGCTGATGGTGATGGTGATGATGCCGATACTGCTGCTGATGCTGCTGCTGTTGATGACGATGATGACGATGATAATGATGGATATGATGAATATGATGATGATGATGATGATGTGATGATGTGATGATGTGATGATGTGATGATGTGATGATGTGATGATGTGATGGTGATGAGGATGATGGTGATGATGAAGATGATGAGGAGGACGACCACGACGACGACGATGATGGTGATGATAATGACAATGATGATGATGATGAAGATGATGATGATGTGATGATGTGATGGTGATGAGGATGATGGTGATGATGAAGAGGAGGACGACCACGACGACGACGATGATGGTGATGATAATGGCAATGATGATGATGCTAATGATAATGATGATGCTGATGCTGCTGCTTGCTGCTGCTGCTGATGATGATGATGTTGATGATGATGATGATGTTGATGTTGATGATGATGATGTTGTGTTTGCAGGAGATGTCCCTCCTTTCAAAACATTTCAGTACCTACATCGACATAGAAGTCGGCGCGTCAATGTCATGCCATCAAACTGTTCTTACAAACAGCTCACTACGCAGAAGTCATCCCAGGCTGTCATCCTGAATTTTGACAGTGAGCCAGCCCAAGAAAGACGAACGCTTCATGTCCTTGTAGGATCTTATAGGCTGGATTTCTTTCACATGGCACCTGTATCCATCATGCATACGCAAAAGACTGGGTTGCAAGGGCGCTTGTAGCGATGATACCTCCGGCTTTGCAATCTGCAGCGCTTGTCCCAGACAAGTTAATTTGTAGAGTTGCAATATTGCTAGCTGCTATATAAGGGTCAAGTATAGAGTCGGGATTCCTTCACATTTCTGCAGCACTTAATTTGAGATGTCGGCTTGTTGACAAATATCAAGCGCACATGCTTGCTAAAGTCTACCGTGGATGCGGGTCATTACTCGTAGTAAAACTATTTTGCATCATTTCGCTGCACAGGTCAAACTTGAATGTTAGCCCTGTGCCAAGATTGAATCTAAGTTTGGTAGCAATGGTGCTGTGGCGCGAAAAAAAGAAATAGTTGCTGCCCTTTTTTCGGGATCCCAGGAGGCACCGTATGCCCCGATCCCATATTAAATTATATGATGTAGATAATATATATATATGTATATATATATGTATATATATATGTATATATATATATATGTATATATATATACGCCCGAGCGCTGGTTAAGAATCCGAAATCTTGAGGCCCAGGGTCCTTCAAATTCTTTACAAATCAATCTATGGAACACTGCAGCTGTTTGAGCATTTCAAGAGAGTGCGGAAAGTTAATCACGACCAGCGCCTGTGCCCTGATGCTGCGCTCAGTACTTTTCAGCGCCTCGGCAGCACCAGCAACTGATGCTGGGGATGAAGTGGGGATATGAATTCTTCAGGTCTGGTAGTGTGGAAGATGAGGCGACTGAAGCCCTTACAGCATTTCAATCGAGGCTTCATGACCTAAGGCCTAAGGTCATTACCAAAAGGGCTTGGCAGTCAGTATTTAAACAGTAATTACAAAGATTACAGGTATAATTGTAGGATATATATATATACATATATTATTCTGTCATAGTGTGAGGCTCACACATTTGCTGACATCACTTTGTACGTTGCTTCAGCTTTATTCATTCTGACCTTGTTCTCACCCTCGTGGAGTAGACAGAAACTTGTACCATGTATATAGACACAACCAACAATACGATACAGTGTGTGTTCTTTGTATCCCGGTGTAGTCGGAAGCAGCGTAGGGATGACATGGGCATGACTGACATTTAGAAACAGCGATCGCAGTACCAAATGCAATTAATAAACAAAACGTAACAATAGATCAGGCAAGTCTTGGGCACGACTTGTTCTTGTTGATTCCTTCTGAAGTTATCCAATGATATCCGTCCTTTGGTTTGGTACTTGTATATTGCTGGGTGCACCTTCCTCTCTTCGCCAGAGGGTCCATAAATGCAGGAACGGAACGCCCCCCCCTCCCTCCTCTTACCCGTCCTCCCCTTGTCCTATTTGAGTCCTTTTTCTGTCCCCCCGTTCTCCCCCTCCACGCCCTCAAGAGTGCGTTTGTTCCGTGTTGTTCCTGCTTCAGCTGTCTCGCTGTTCTCTTCCTTTTGGCTGGTTCTCCTCTGCACTGTTGCTCTTCTGCATGCCAGAGTTTGAACCCCGTCCTTCTCTTCCTTTGCTCTGACTGCGCGTTGCTTGCTCCCTTTGCCTGTTGTCTGGCTTCAATGTCTTTCTGCTTGTTTCCCCGCTTGTTTCTTTTGGCTGTCCTTGTTCCCTCTTTTCCACCCGTTTTTCACCGCCCCTTGGCGGGCTAATGTGTGTGTTTGTGTGCGCGTGCGTGCGTGCGTCGGGTGTGTGTGTGTGTGTGTGTACCATCTGTATAGATGTAAAACTTCCTAATTAATATGCAGGGGAGGTGTGGCACTCATGTCCTACCACACGCAACGAAGCTGTTGACATGAGTGGGAAGGGAAAGGTGGCCGGTTTCCTGTACCTGCAGCTTAATGTATATATAAGTCCCGCCCCTGGGCGCATATAAGTCGCAGCTGGGGGGACTTATATTTTATCGCTGTTGCTTTATATGGTCAACGTGTACTGTGATCTTTATTTATTTATATATATATATTACGTACGTAGTTTCATTATATCATTTGATTGCTGGTGTCTTTGCACGTAAGATGCATTCCACAACAACATTCGCAATGACAGTTCTGATCAAGTGTGTGACTCATGCTGGATTCGTCATGGTGACATGAACCCTTCGGGGAATACCTTTCTAGGTAGGAATTTGAATTCTCGACCTGATCTCTGAATTTACAATTTTCAACCTAGTAATTCGTCTAAGTAAAGTGAAACAGTCGTTCACCTTTCGGGTTTCACTCTGTCGGTCGAGTTTTGAACAACTTGCCGCTGTACCGGGCTTTGATTTTTTCAGTGACTCTGCTAAGCGTCAGTAGCCTGAAGCCGCGCCAACATTCCTTTTCATCGTTGCCCAAGAGAGTACGGAGATTGACATTTTGGCATCATGTCACATGATCAGGTTAAGGCGTCAGGACATGCCTGCAGGTATGGTGATTCTTCTTTTGGTTACTCTGGTGAGGTTCAAATGTGCACGTAATTCGAGGGTTGATTTGACTACCCAGGGCCTCGAGCCTTATCACGAACCTTGCATGGATTGTGGTCGCATCATTAGTCATCAGCTAAGTCCCCATGGGTCCCCTTTCTCATGCGTGAGCCCGTGTTAGGTCAGGTTTGGGTCCTTCGCGTGCCAAGGTAGGTGTGGCTCTCACCTTGTAGATTGTGTCAGGCGCTTCTGTCCGCGCCCCCCTCCTCTGGTCGGTGTTTGGCCCGTCGTCCGTCCGCTTCTTCTTTTCCCTTGCCCTTTCAGGGTTTGCCCGCTTTGGTCCAGGTGTGTTGGTGTTGGTGTTTTCTCCTTTCTTCTCTTGCGTTCCCCGCCTTGTGTCCCGGTTAAGTATCTGTCATCTCATTCTCATCGTCATTTCATTTTCATTTTCCTTTCTTCATCTGCCCCGCTGCTGCGGGGCGTGTGTGTGTGTGTGTCAAGCTCTGTACCGAAGAGTTCTTCACCTTTTGTGGCTGACTTCAACTAACTTGTTTCTGGCTGCTTCCTTCTATAAATTAGTGATATCGGTGCGCCTTTAATTCATAGCAGGGGGCACAAGGACCTTTGGTGAGTCTTGTGCCAATGAAGACACTCACCTCAGGTTGTGAAAACGTACCTGCATGATGCACCTGGATGACATACCCAATATGTTGGGGTCATAGCTGGTGGTCATATCCGTATCCGTTAGTACTCCATGGGATCAGGCCAACCCAAGAACCTGCACGCCGTCATTCATTCATTTCTTGGCCATGTTCGATTGAGAAATCTCGGTTTTTCTTTTAAACAACCAGACATTCAAATGTCAACGGATAAGCTTGGCCTTTTTAACTCGGTATGGCCGAGTGATGCCTTCAACCTACCATGAGGTAATCAGACTTTGCATTCATGATAAGAAACTGTCTTTCATGACTTCGCAAGTGTGTACTTCGGCTGTGGGATCTGTCAAAGTCCGGTCGTGATCCTGGAATTCCAGGCGTCGTATCTCCCCTGGGATTGCGAGAATCCACAAGTGAATCTGACTCTTGAATTCAGCCTCGGTGGCTCAATGCAATGATTGAATATGTGTCTCCGACACAAAGCGTGCATTTGAGAGCATAGATCCCGGTATGCTATCCGGCAAAAATAGCTTGAAATCACTGATTTTGAACTTGAATTTGACCATTGACATTTTTGGAGACTGATAGTCACCAATATGATGAATTCTCTGAATTCTCCACTTGAAGCCTCAGCATTGAATTCCAAACGGATGAATGGTGTTTATACACATGAATTCCTTTTGGTGTACAGTTGAGTAAACACTAATACGTCACCACTTGTCAGCTGTCTAACCAATCAATCCTTGTACAGTAAAAAAGTTGTCATATTAGACGACAAATTTTCCTTTTTTCTAGATTCCTGAGCCATGTCGACCCCGGTGTATAATGTTTACTTTGTGGCCGGCAACGTGGACCCAACTCCACCTCGGCCACCGAAAGCTCCGGCGAAGCCAGCAGCAAGACTGGCACTGACATCACATACTACTTCAGCAATTCCGGTAGCAGCCCCAGCTGCAGTTCCAGGAACGGTCTCAGTACCTCGTCGGCCGTCAACAATCCAACCTGTGGTGCCGGTTGGAGCAGATGATGACAAACAAGAAAGACGTACAACATCAAGTTGCTCCAGATCTAGAACAAGACGTCGTCATCGAACATCCCATCATCGTCACCATCATCGTGATCACTATTCTCCAAGGTTCACTCCGAGATCTGAAAGAGGTAGGTCAGTTAGAACAGCTCGTTCTGTTTCTCAAGTTCACGGTCCACCACCAGGTCAATGGGACATTCATACTGGTCTTTGGGACCCATATGTTGGAAACATCCCTCCCAGAGCACATGTTCCTCCTCCCAGAGCTCCGGTCCTCCTGCCTTGATGCCCACAGGACCGTTTTCAGCTTTTCCTCCGTTAGATCGCTCAGGACGTCACCAAGTGACACCAACCAGAGACAGCCTGAGGAGTCAACCAGTCACTCCGAACCAGGCAAATATTCGATCCTGGTTAAAAAATCATCAAGATGATCGCCACCCGATGATGGACAGTATGGTGAAATTCGTTGCACAAATTCTGGACTACACTACACCAGGTATACTCCTGATCATTTGTCCACAATGAAGTTGCTTGTTTATGACCCTCAAGATCATGAACATCATCCCACTGATTTGGGCAAGAGTCACTATTACCTTATTAAAGGACATTTCTCTCAAACAGAGATACCAGATCCAGTACGAGCTGCACCTGCGATGAACCTCCAGGAAGTACAGCATGTTAATTTGGTTCATGCTAGCAGTATTGGAGGCATCAAAGGTATCTTTTCTGATCAAAAGATCGGACCTTGCCGTTTGCATAACAGCCAATCTTGCTCATTTTTCAGTCTTGGATCTAAAAGAACCAATGACAGAGCTTGGGATGACAAAGAAATGGCCAGAATCACACATGCAGCATGGTATGCTGCGAAGAATACCAGTAACATTCTGGCAGTTGCGGTAGGATGGGGAACGGCTGACGCCGTAAAGCAAGGGGGAGAATGGGAATGCGTACAGAAAACCATGAATGGCGGATGCGTCCACCATCAAAGAGGACGCATGTGGGTCACTAATGAAAACTCCCACAAACTCTTAGGTTTTGCATTCAGAGTGGCAGCTGAAAGCCCACTAGACTAATTCCCTACTCCATTTTGAACCCTTGATGTTTTACCATCTGCTACTCTTTTGTCTGATTGGAATTTTGCTTCAATATGAACTGCCCGTTTCTCCATCAGACCTTTTACCGGTATGCTTAATTCATTTCCGTTGCATGCGCCATCGACATTTGCTGAGATGTTCAAAAAAGAAAAGCATGGACAACCCATGTATTCCGATTTGTGATTTAACGTACATATTTTAATTCAATTGAAACTGTGATCCATTCTGTCAAACAAGAAGATACATCAGGCTGCCACGTTGAATCAACGTGCCGCATCAAATTGCAGGTTTTTCAATTTTACTTTGTTTTCTGTTATTGCTGCAGTTTTTGGGTCCTTAGGCTTCCTGTTGACGTGTCAATATCTCCGTTGTTAGCCATGTCGTACTGGAATAGGGCCGCAAGAAGCTGGTCAACTTTCTGTTCCTGAAATTTGGAAACATGTCAATCAACAGTTTTCTCAAACAGATGACGATATTCAATTTGCTGC